AGAACCACTCGACTCCTCTGTACTTCGCAACCTGCCGCCGCTTCGGGATCCACGCGGAGGGAGGACCCAAAGCGTACCGCGCTACCTTTTGACCCTTTCGTTTCGAACGTTCCCGATACCGATTTCGCGATTACCGTCCAAATGCTTTCGTTCAAACTCCGTTGAAAGTTGAAATTTCTCCATTTTTTTTTTTCTTTTTTCTTTCTCGTAGTATTCATCGATAAAACGCTTTTCTTTCGAGGAATGGATCGAAATGATCCAAATCAAGTTTGCAAACTTTTAGAGATTATTCGAGATAGAAGAAGAGGTATCATTTATAATTTATAATTTAATTCGATTTATATTCGATCTCTTCCTTTTGAATTTCCTTACGAAGTCGATTCGGTTTCTTTGTACTTTACGATCGACAATTTCAAGATCCGCGTGGAAATAAAGTCAGGCGTGCTATGCTCCTGTGTTGATCGCTTTCGTTTCGAATCGAATATTTTTGATTCCATTTTATTTCTTTTAATTTCTATAATAACGTATAAATTAATTTAATTAATTTGCAATTTTTCGTTTCACGATCTATGCAAATAAAGATATGCACGTTTCTGGTATAGATCATCGATAAACATAGTTTGCAACGTAGAAAATAAGAGATAACAATAAGACTCTCGGTCTTTTTTCAAAGAAAAAAAACGTATTCTTCCCTTTTCCTCGTTGAAAACGAGTAGCACGACACGCACGGCCGAGCAAATCCTTCTTCCAACCTTCTATTCTTTCTCATGCCCAGAAAGTGTGTTGGAGGAATATTGGTGGATTAGCTGGCGCCACCTCAAAAGATAAATATCGATTACAATGACATGCTCTTTGCCCTCTTCTGGGAAGAGAGCACTGTGCAATCCGATCCAGAGCGAAATTTACTTCGACAGCTTATGAGATCATTGTAAACAGCTCGGTACCAGTTTCTTCTCGGTTGGTCTCTGCTCGATCGTGTATTTCTACTTCCTCTGTCACGTCCTTCTCTTTCGTCCGGATCTCTGCCACTGGCTACCTTCTTTCCTCTCTTTCATACCTCGTGTCTCGCTACACAGCGGAGGCGCATCGTACAGGACGGTATCAAGGGTTTAACCTGTCGGCGTGTGGCTACATTCTTTTCATCTCTGCCGCCGGGAAAGAGCCGTCGCATTTACAACAGAAACGTTCACCGATCTTGATCCTGTTCTTCCTCTTTTTAAATTATTTACTTATTAACGGGACGAATCCCATTAGCGTACAAACATGAAAAAACAAGAGTTTAATATTGGTCCGAGCGAATGTAAATAACAATATAGCGATATAAGACAGAGATTTTCAATTGCGATTGAACAATTAATGAATTTATGGTACGGAGAGAAAGAAGATTTAATTCAGGCATAACGAAATAACGAATCGCTCGAGAATAATAGTAACGAAAAAGATCAATTGACGATTGATTGAACACTGTTGGCGTTAATGAGCATACGTACGGTTGAAATTATAATAATATTCACGGAATACAAAATATCTTTATTATATGATATGAAAAAAATGAAAAAAAAAATAAACCTCTTTTAAAAATTTCATCTTAACTATTTAAATGATTATCTTCTCATAATAGAATAAAAGAATAAAAGAATTTTCGATATATGTATATATAAATTTCCAAGGTACATCAAATCAAAAGTTGCATTTTCACAAATAACTGACAAGGAATATATTTAACTGTGAAAGCTTAAGATCAAATCGAGAATCTCACTCACTAATGATTGAATCGAACTCGCGTATACTACTCTTTCTCGTGGAGTACTATTTTCGATTGCTTCCCTTGCTCTCTTTCCTTTCTCCATCCTCTGGTAGCGCGGAGAACGGCTGACCTAATTGATGGATCGTTTTCCGCGTATCTCCAGCGATGGGTCAACTGCTTCGTTGACCGAGCGAATGCGCGAGCGATCGGTCTCGATGTCACGACCATTCTCCGTTAGTTCGCAGAACCGACGAGAACCGTTTCGTAGTCGAGTAGCCGTCTCTCCAACGAAAGGAACTGTAATCTTTCGCGCATCTAGGTGGACTCGCTTGATTATCCTATCGCTGAACTTTGATCGCTTTCATCGAACGAAATCATCGAGGTATCGAATGACTTATCGAGGAAAGAGGAAGAAGAAGAAGAAGAAGAAGAAGAAGAAGCGATAACGGAAGAAAGTTCGAAGGACTTAATAAATAACGACAAAAAGGAGAAGAGAAAGTTAAAAAGAAAACATTTTGGGAAACACCGTGTAACGGATAAAAGTCGTCTCGAGTAGTGGCTGTATCGTGATCACCTCTGAATCCTACTCGAGTAGTTTTGAAGCCGAGCATATGGAGAGGAGAGGCATGAACGAAAGAACGAAAGCTTCGATAGAGGAGGAAAGGAAGAGATTGCGGCGAAAGAGTAGGAACTGGCGAGGTGGAGGAGAAGAGGTAGAGCGAAGGAGTGAGCGAGGGGGTCAGCGGGGGTCCGTATTACAGCTCATTTAGCAGCGGGGTCCTATGCCCCTTCGGCGAGGCCAGAGAGATCGGGCTCGCGTTGGACCTACGGCAAAGATGAGTTCGTTTCGTTCCCATAAACCTTCCGATATATCCTCCGCTAGATCCTTCTCTATCCACGATTAACCGATCTCGACGATCTGCAAGTCTGATTTCGAAATTGCCGATCGTATCGAACGTCACAATCACGGTCACAAGGTGGCGAGGCAAAGGAAATTTTGTCAAGCATGATGAATTAGTAGATCGTCTCGGTTTCCAAGATTATGTTTTCGAGATACACCTACCGTGGTTAATAATATCGGTTTGAAGAAAAAAATGTAAAAGGGAGAGGAGTGAAGATGGGAGAAAAAGAGTGGAAATGGAAAGGAGTTGGAGAGGCGAAGGGAAGGGAAGGGAAGGGAAGAGAACGTTACCGAGTTGTGACCAACACAGACACGGAATAGCTAGTAATTTATGGGTGAGACTAATTACCGGGGAATGCCGCTCCTCCGACTCTTCTTTGCTCCTAAGACCGCATCTCTCTACCAGACCAGTTTTCAGAGACGAGTGGAGGAGAGCTTCTCTTAGCCCACCTTCGTCTTTCGTTCATCCTTTCGTTCCCTCCCTTTCCTTTTTCGCCTTTTTCGCATCCCTTTTTCCATCCTCTGACCCGCGCCTGCGTTTTAAACGTTAATTTGCGCGGACGTGTCGTCGCAAGAAGATTCGCCCGACTTTATCATAATCGATCTTGCCAGCGATTACCCTCGCAGTTACGGGGATCTCTCGCGCGCGATTCATCCGTAAAAAAACCTCGTTCTCGTAAACTATCGCGTCGAAGCGCGACCAGTGAAAAAAGAAAGGAGGGTGGAGAGGGGAGGAAATCAAAGTAGAGGAAAAAAAATTGTTATTTTGAAGAGAGAGAAAGAGAGGGAGGGAAGAAAAGAAAAGAAAAGAAGAGAAAAGAAGAGAAAGAAGAAAATACGAGGCGAGGGTGCTCGAGAGGATAATGGAGGAGAAAAAACAGGCGTGTTCCCACGAGCCATCAGCACGGAGAAGGGTGTCGGAACAATACCGGGCCCGTCCTCGGACGTCGTTTCGACATTAGCCTGACCTAACAATTTGGAGCAAGCTCGGCGTGCCCCTGCTACCACGATTCCTCTTCGTTAAATGCCATTATACGTTTCACTTGGACACCCGGTCGTCGCATGAGTCGTGAATTCCTGAGAACCTGCTCGAACTGGGCTCTCTCGACGGGCAGCAGCGTGCCGGTGGCGGCCACCGGTGCCGCTCGAAACGATAGAGGCGGACCATACCGCGCAGCCACGAACAGATTCTTCTATTATGACGAGAACGAATCGGGAGAAAAAAGAATCGGCGTGGTAACCTACGCGCGTGACGAACGCGCCTCGATAGAGCCGTAGCCTAGCCGCTTCCTCTTGCCGCGCGATCCTTTTGCCTCGTCTATCTGTACAGGTGGAGAACGTCTTGATCGATGATCGATTGTTTTCCGATTACGTTCCGGAAAAATTTGAATGAAACGATTCGGGGAAAAATTAGCAATTTTTGATTTCAATTTATATCATAAGATATACTATATTTAAAGTAAGTTAGGCGAGAATAATTACAATTCAAATATGGATAAAAATGTTTGAAAAGTTTATTATTAACGCATATTTTTTTTACGAAATTAATATAACTATCGTAAAATCGATAAAGAGATAGAAAGTTAATTGATTCAACGAATTGCGTATACATATAACAAATAAATTTATCGAACATTTATCGAACGAATCTTCTAAAACCTTTCTGATATCAGACATTTATGATCCGTTGCATCAATTTATCGTTGCAATAATTACCGAAATTTAGCAGGAAATTTAAAGAATTTGTATGGAATCTCGTGTCTATTGAGAATTTCGAGCGATGGGTCGAAATTTTGCGAATACGGTCCAGTTGAAATTCTAACGAAACGCGAAGAAGAAGCAAAGTCGAAAAGGGGAGAAGGAAGGAAGAGCATGGAAGGACCCGCAAACAGTTTTTGTCGCGGACCTCGCAAGGCCGCGTCGCAGACGGTCAAGCGGGACCT